CATCGTTTATCTTACATATCTTATTAAGCAAATATTTGATATCTCGAAAGACAGGCCTGCAGACGTACCTGCCTGTCTTTCGCTCTTTAATAACAGCAGTTATCTTGTCACCGGTCTCTTCTCCGGTGGTCACATTGATAAGGCGTCTTAATGACACGACCTTCTAGATTAAACGAACCCAAAATCAGTGTCTTTGCATAGTAAAATCATTCAACAATCTCAGGTAGTTGCTAGTTATAGAGAAATTATTTGTTGCTTTATCTATGGAAAACTGCAGTTATTATTAAGAAACTAGCAAGTTTAAAAACAAAAATGTGTGTGTGTGTATATATGTATGTATGTATATATATGTGTGTATATATATATATATATATATATATATATATATATATATATATATATATATATGTGTGTGTGTGTGTGTGTGTGTGTGTGTGTGTGTGTGTGTGTGTGTGTGTTTGTATATATATACTTATATATATCTATATCTATCTATCTATCTATCTATATATATATATATATATATATATATATGTGTGTGTGTGTGTGTGTGTGTGTGTGTGTGTGTGTGTGTGTGTGTGTGTGTGTGTGTGCATATGGCGCCGCCTTCCGAAGGCGTCTTCTCGACACAGACATTCATCACCCAGGTAAATCTCTCCCATATCTTTCCATTTTCAACTCTATCAGAGGATCATCAAATTTTTCCTATTAATTCCCAATCTCCGGCCCCTGCTGTTCTTGGCTTCCCGAATGGCCATTCCATCGCCGCGAACTGATTGGCTGAGAGCGATATCACCAACGCCTGAGGCTGGCTTTGGTGCCAAACTTTAAACATTTTGCAAAAGTCATGTCATGAATGTACATCCGTGAAAGTAATAATTTAATGTATATGATTAAGCTCGCGCATCATGATAATTCCATTTACATAATTCTTTATGAAATAAAACATTTTTATAATTAGTTTTATGATTAGTATGATGCGATAAAATGTGTGACCTACTGATGGTAAAAAGGTGACCGTTCACACACACAACTACAGACATACAATATATATATAGATAGATAGATAGATAGTTTGTTAGTTAGTTTGATATATACAAACATATAGAAAGATAGATGGTTAGATAGATATAGACAGATAGAAAGATATGATATGTTATATCCAAATGAAAACTAAATGTTATTTACGCTGTGTTTATTTCATATAATATTAAGCAATGTCATCATCCGTGTATGTGTGTGTGTATATCTATCTATCTATCTATCTACCTATCTATCTATATATATATATATATATAAATATATATATATATATATATATATATATATATATATATATATATATATATATATATATATATTTATATCTGTGCGTGTGTGTTATATACATTTATATATATATATATGTATATATATATATATATATATATATATATATATATATATATATATATATATATATATATATATATATATAGTTAAAATAATCAAATCATCTCTTTAAACAAAATCGAATCTAAATGATGAATTCAAACGGAAACGGCACCAGTAAGGCTCATGCCAACGATACGCTAAACTCCGTCGCCCCCTCGCCCTCAGGTTGGGACGGCGCGGCGAACATCGGCGTCCTGAGCAAGGGCATGATCGAGCCGCTCAACCTGGCGGACCCCGTCGACCTCGGAAGGCGCTTCGACTGGGTCATGAGCATCGAGGTGGGCGAGCACATTTCTGCCAAATCCGAGGAGGTCTTCTTGGATAACCTCGTCAAACATGCTTGCAAAGGTTGGGAAGTGTTTGGTGTTCGTTAGTCTATTTTTTATATTTAGGATATAGAAATGGCAGTAGTAATGACTGTGGTAATATGTAATAATGATTTATGTAATAATAAAGTGATGGATAGAAGCGAAAATTTTAATATTAAGGATAATGGCAATAATGACAACAGAAAATAATCATGATTATAATGATCATTCAACTATCACTAGCAATATGATAAAGCGAACGCCATCACAATTCTGTCATCATTATCATGTTGCTGTCGTTTAATATTTTTCTACAGTTCTGTCACAATAGTAGCGTCGCCAATTCTTACAGGCGTGGTGTTGTCGTGGGCGGTGCCAGGTCAGGGAGGACACAACCACGTGAACACGAGGCCGAACGATTACCTCAAATCCAAGATGGCGGACAGAGGCTTGGTGGCCGACGACGAGGCAGAGAAACGCATTCGAGGAGCTGTGGATACCGAGTGGTTTAAGAACACTCTCATGGTTTTCCGATTCCCAGAAGAGAGATGTTGAGGACTGATGGCCATGGTTGAATTTCTGGCGATATATGGAATGGTTTCTTGAATTTATTTTAAAGAAAACGTTTATGCCATCTATTTTGTATATAATATTTGCTGCTGTAATATTGTGTGACTAATATGTGCTTTCATTTGGGCTGTGGGTATGAATGTGTGTATATATACGTTTATATATACACACACACACACACACACACA